AAGAAAACGTCGAAGGAGATTTAGGGCTTGAATGATATTTATTCTTATTTTTAATAAAAATATATGTAGTAGTTTCTAAAAATACTATATTTAATAATTTAAACGTTTTAAAAACTTCTAAACTTAAAAGTTTAGGAGTTTTGAACACTACTACAATATATAAATATAGTAGTTTTGAAAACTCCTTTGGGGGCTAGAATTTTAAATGGCACTTTGACTTAGGCCATTTTTAAAAAGCTCCTCTTTGTCTCACTTCCTTCCGATCCCAAACCTTTCCAAAAACCCTAACCTCCTAATTTGCAGCAGGTGAGACTCCCAAATGAAGAACAAGAAGAGCTTCAGTTTCAATTTGGGGATATTAAGGCCAATTAGCTATCCAACTCGTTTCGCTTCTGTTTCATGTATTTTCTCTCGTTTCAGATTCACGTTTCTTCTTCTTTCTCCGTGTCGTCATTTTGGAACTCACCCTGTGGTAAATTATGGGAATGTTAGTGAGGCTAATGACGCGCTTCATATGTTCGATCAACCCGAACAATGCCTTCTCCCAACATCAAAGAATTTAATAAATTGATGTCCTCAGTAGTCAACCTAAAAGAGTTTTTAGTTGCCATTTCTCTTTTTAAAGATATGCGACCGTTTGGGGATTCCAATAAACGCTTGTATGCTCAATTTCCATCAATAGTTATTGTTTATCATGCCGAACTGATTGTGGATTTTCTATTATGGGATGGTTTTTTAAGTTTGGCCATGTTCCTTCTGGGCATACCTTCAGTCTAAGTTGGGAGGTTTGTATAGCGAATATAGGATCAGTGAGGCACAAATTTTATTTAAAAAGGTAGAAAGTGAGAGGTGTTGTGAGATGAACGTTGTTTTATATGGGACTGTAGTAAATAGACTTTGCAAGATGGGAAACACTGCTGCAGCTCTTGAACTGATCAAGGAAATGGAAAAAAGTGGTGTGCGGGCAAATTTTCGTTTTATAACTAGTCATTCACAGTTTTTGTAGTGATGGAATTATTGATGCGGCTTTCAAAATATTCTATAACATTCCTACAAAAGGTGTCGTTCCTAATATTATCATCTACAATTCTTTGATTTTTGGATTATGTAAGTTGAATCGATGGGACGAAGTAAAAATGATGTTCAAGGAGATGATACATTGCAAAATCTATTTGGATGTTGTCACATTTAGTACATTGGTTGATTCTATATGCAACAAAGGGTTGGTGGATCTGGCGGAGGATGTACTTCATGTCATGAGGGAGAAAGGTGTGGATGCTGATGCTGTTTCATATAGTGCATTGATGGATGAAAATTGGTTGCAAAGACGAATGGATGATGCAGAAAAAGTTTTTGATTCAATGGCTTGTAGGAATATATCTTATGATGTTAACAGCCACACTATTCTACTTCATGGGTATTGCATGAAGAAGAATATAAAAAAGCTATTCACGTATATAATGAGATGTTGCGCAATAATTTGAAGCCATATATTGTTATATATAATGTTTTGTTGAAGAGGTTGTTTCATACACGCAATTTTTTGATGATTTGAAGGTTGCTGGTGTAAAACCTTGTTTTTACACTTATTGTAACATGTTAGATGGTCTATGCAAGCATGGGAATGTTCAAGAAGCATTAGAGTTCTTACATGCATTAGAGCATATTAGAGCATAACGGCGTATCTCTCTATATTGATTACTACAATACTGTGATGAATAGGTTGTTCAAATGGAAGAATCTTGATATGGCTTGCGCTATGTTTAACAATCTCCATTATAGGGGTTTGGAACCAGACATTGTAGCTTATAATATATTGATACGAGGATCTTGCGGCTGTGGATTGCTCAAGAAAGCTGAAAATCTTATTTCTAGAATGAAACAAAACAAAGTAATGCTAGATTCAATCACCTATATTAATATCATTCGAGGAATTATGCTACATGGTGAATATGATGATGCAGTAGCAGTTTGCAAAGAAACGATTGCAAAAGGATTCTCACTCAACTTGTATACAGTTTGCCTTGCTGCACAGTTCGAGGAAGTTTCATGCCACCCTTCTTAAAATGGTTCGTAAGTTGGGTCATAATGTTTTTAAACAAAATTTGAGGTTGAATATAGGTTAAATCAATTGAATAGACTACCCATGTCAATAATGTGTACATTCCTTTTCGGGAGCCTTACTGAAAGAACTCTAGAGTTAAGTGTGCTTGCTCTAGAGTAATTTGAGAATTGATGACCCTTAGATAACCCTTTGGGAAGTCTCCCAGAGTGCGCGTGAGTGAGGAAAGAAACGCGTTGGAAGGACTTGTGTTGACATGTTGGGCCAGCCTACGATCCCGACACGTTTAGCTTTTTTGTGGCTTGTAGACAGGGGTGTCACATTTGGTATTAGAGCCGACCTACGATTAGCCCACAGTCGTTGACTGGAGTGGTGACGGGCCGAGCAATTGACGATTATTGGGGTGCAACAAAGACATTACATTCTATAGTGGCGGATGATGTGATACCCCCCGAAGTTAGGCCGTTGCTTAGCCAACTCCCGTGTGTGGATGGGCCGGTATTAGGCCATTCAAAGTTGATTAGAGATTAAATGGATTGAATAGACAACTCTTATTAACAATGTGCACATTCCTTTTCGAGAGCCCTACTGAAAGAACTATAGAATAAAATGTGTTTGCTCTAGAGTAATTTGAGGATGGGTCACTCCCACTTGTGTTGACATGTGGGGCCAATCTACGATCCTTACACACCTGGCTTTTTGTGGCTTGCGGCCTGGGGTGTCAAAATTACTGGATAAAGGTTACATTCATCCTAGTACGTCTCCTTGGGGATATCCATTTTTATTACTAGATACGACCATTATAAATTTACGGTTATGTTAGTTGGGCTGACTAACGCCCCGATTATGTTTATAGAGTTAATGAATATAAATTTTCAATCATAGCTTGATCAGTTTATGGTGGTATTTATCAATAATATATTAGTGTATTCCCCAGATAAAAAGACATATCCAAAACATTTGCGTGTGATATTAAATACATTGTGTGCGAGAAAGTTATATGTCTAGTTATCCAAATGCGTTGTTGCTTTCTTGGGGCATGCTGTTTCTGGAAATGGTATCTCAGTAGATCCTTCTAAAGTGGCGGCAATCTCGGATTGGCCAAGACCTACCAATCAATCAGAAGTAAGAAGTTTTTTGGGTTTGGCAGGGTATTACCGAAGATTCGTTCTTGATTTTTCGAAGGTTGCAAAGCCATTAACTATTTTGCTGAAGAATAATGCAAGGATTAATTGGAATCATGAGTGTGAGTCTTCATTTTTAGAATTGAAATATCGATTAACTTTAGCTCATGTCTTGGTTTTACCAGTGGAGGGTGAGGATTTTGAAGTTTTATGGTGATGCTTCGAAACGAGGATTGGGATGCGTCTTAATGCAGAATCAAAGAGTTATTGCTTATGCATCATGATAACTAAAAATGAATCTTCGGTAATACCTTGTCAAACCCAAAAAGCTTCTTATTTCTGATTGATTAGTAGGTCTTGGCCAATCCGAAATTGCCACCACTTTAGAATGATCTACTAAGATACCCTTTTTAGAAATGACATCCTCGAAGAAAGAAACATTTTTCAACCATTTACCCACCATACGAATCCCACAATTAATACATAGATAGCCAAACATTTTCGCCATTAACCACAAGATGCCCCATACTCTATGATAGCAAAGATAGGACCCTCCTGTCTATCTCCACCCCGTGTAGTGTAGTAGAATCTGTGCAACGTTAAATCACCCAAGGGAAACCCGGAAACTTTACCCCTCCTTGCACGCCCTAACGGGATCACGTTTGGAGTTTGGCATATGATCCTAAACTATCGATAGACCTCACTAGTAGCTACTCTAATGAGTGGAACAACACCGAACACGAATGATTAGACTAAATATGTCTCAACTACAATGGGTCTAATCCTTGAATGACCGTATGACTAAGTCATCCATTTGTCCGACTACTATCGTCCATTATCGTCAAAGTGTTACGGTACATCGGGGTCAAATATCCTAACCTCAGATGATGTCCTCGCTTAGCACTACCACACATAACAACTAAACGATAGATTCATAAAACATAACCGATAAACCATGCAATATATGTGCAACATGTCAAATAAGTGAATTTACCAAAAATAGCTGGTGAGACAGCCCACCTCTTTTTTTTTTTTTCATAAATTCACCAACGCAATCAAATACGTATATAAAATATCATAAAATGCAAAAGTCTCACACATGCATACGCACACATATATATAAGTATATACATGCACTGACAAAATGATCCGTATTTAATTTATAAGAGCTACATGCTTATTCAAAAGCCAATTTCTATAATTAGCTCGTCGAGTTTCAAACTTTTATATTTAATAGAATACGATATTCTAGCTATAGAACTATTCCTCCTAATATTTATATCACAGGATTATTAGATAAAAATTGTTAAGAAAATAGGCATGTGCAATATTAGTTAATTTTCTAGTTTATCTATAGATTTTAGGAGATTATCCAATTATGTTCTAATTTATGTTCTCTTTTGCTAATTTCTTGCTTAATTTTTTTTCTAGTATATTTTTATCTGTTTTCAGTAGATTTATCCAAATTTTAGTAAATATTAGTTAATTCCATCGAAATCGATCGTTTACGGTTGAAGTCGTGCAGGCTCCACCGAAAGAGTTGCTCCCAATTCAACGACGGACAGACTCTTTTGAATACTTCCGCAACTCGCACCGAAAAATCAACTAACGATCTTGGAGCCATTTTAGGTTTCAAGCCATTTTAGGTTCCAAACATATATGAACTTTTTTTTAATTAAAATATAAAAAATTATATAGCTAATATAAAAATAATTAATGTATATAATATAATAATTTTTTTAAAAAAATATGTTACTAATTTTTATTTTTTTTTTAGAAATGAAACAAACCGTTGGTAATTGGGAGAACTTCCACTAATCTCACTAAATTCCCATTTCGCTTCCCTCAATCAAACCCTAACCTCCCTCCGGATTTGCAGCTGCTGAGATGAGATTGAGATGGAGAACAAGAAGAACTTCAATTTAAATCTGGGGATATTATTGCCGATTCGCTATCCAACTCGTTTCGCTTCAGCTTCAGGTATTTTCTCCCGCACGCTCCTCCTCCTTTCTCCGTGTCGTCGTTTTGGAACTCACCCTGTGGTAAATTGCGGGAATATTAGTGAGGTTAATGATGCGCTTCATATGTTCAATCAAATATCCCGAAAAAGGCCTTCTCCTGGTGCTAAAGAATTTAATAAATTGTTGTCGTCATTAGTCAAGTTGAAAGAGTATTCCGTTGCCATTTCTCTTTTTAAAGAGATGCGATGTTTGGGGATTCCAATAAACGCTTGTACTCTCAATATTGCCATCAACGGTTATTGCTCATCATGTTGGACTGATTGTGGATTTTCTATTCTGGGTTGGTTCATTAAATTAGGTCGTGTTCCCCGTGAGCATACATTCAGTCCATTAGTGAGGGGTCTGTTTATTGAGGACAGGATCACCGAGGCACAAGTTTTGTGTAAAAAGATAGTAAGAGAGAAGTTGTGTGAGATGAATGTGGTTATATATGGGACTGTGGTAAATGGGCTTTGCAAGACCGGAAACACTGCCGCAGCTCTTGAACTGATCAAAGAAATGGAAAAAAGTGGTGTGCCGGCAAACATTCATATTTTCAGCATAGTAATTCATAGTTTTTGTAGTGATGGAATTGTTGATGAAGCCTTCAAGATATTTTACGAGATGCCTATGAAAGGTGTTGTTCCCGATATTTTCACCTACAGCTCTTTGATTTTTGGATTATGTAAGTTGCATCGATGGGACGAAGTAAAAACGATGCTCAAGGAGATGATAGGTCGCAAACTCTATCCGAACGTTGTCACATTTAATACATTGATTGATGTGATATGCAAGAAAGGTTTGTTGGATCTAGTGGACGATGTACTTCATGTCATGAGGGAGAAAGGTGTGGATCCTAATGTGGTTTCATATAATGCATTGATGGATGGATATTGCTTGCAAGGACGAATGGATGACGCTGAAAAAGTTTTTGATTCAATGGCTTGTAGGAATATATCTCCTGATGCTAAGAGCTACAATATTCTAATTCATGGGTTTTGCATGATGAAGAATATGAAAGAGGCTAAGCGTGTATATAATGAGATGTTGCACAATAATTTGAAGCCAAGTATTGCTACATATAATGTTTTGTTGAAGGGGTTGTTTCATACATGCAACTTTTCAGACGCAATGCAACTTTTTGATGATTTGAAGGTTGCTGGAGTAAAACCCTATTTTTACACTTATTGTAACATGTTAGATGGTCTATGCAGGCATGGGAATGTTGAAGAAGCATTAGAGTTCTTACATGCATTAGAGCATAATGGTGTATCTCTCCATAGTAATTACTACAATATTGTGATGAATGGGTGGTGCAAATGGAAGAATCTTGATATGGCTTGGGCTATGTTTGACAATCTCCATTGTAAGGGCTTGAAACCAAATATTGTAACTTATAATATATTGATACGAGAATGTTGCAACCGTGGATTGCTCAAAAAAACTGAAAATCTTCTTTCTAGAATGGAACAAGACAAAGTGATGCCAGATTCCATCACTTACAATAGTATCATTCGAGGAATTATGCTACATGGTGAATACAATGATGCAGTAGCAGTTTGCAAAGAAATGATTGCAAAAGGATTCTCCCTCTCCCTCAATCCATTTACGATTGCCTTGCTGCACAGATCAAGGAAGTTTCGTGCCATTTTTCTTAAAATAGTTCGTAAGTTTGGTCGCATTATTTTTAAGCAAAATTTTCAAGGAAGGAAAAAAATGTTTGTTCCTGGTGCACATTTGCTGAGAAAGTAAACATTATTTGTTTGTTTTTGTTATGAATGCATATGGAATGCTATTACAGCGCAATTAGTTAATCTCATGAGTAGTTGTTTGTTCTATAGTGTTGGTTGTTAAGTTAATGACTATTGCTTCCATATTTTCATTATATATGTATTTACTTTTATAGTTTGAGTGGAGACGATGTATGCATTGTCAAACAATAAAAGTTGTTTTAAGGATATATATATATATATATGTAGTTTTGTACTCTTCACTAATAGGCTTCTTGTCATAATATGATTCAAGAGAAAGATAAGTATTTGAGGATAACTCTATCTGGTTATTGTAGGAGACCTAAATAGCATTAGTTGACGTGGGGATCGTACAAGTAGTGGGCTACCTGGCATATTGTGCTTCCAAAATGTATTAGCGCCATCTCTAGATCAACGATCAAAACTAGAGATGGAGACGGGTAGTTTCAGGACGGGTTTCGTAGGCTCAAAACCACTTGCTGGAAAACCATAGGCTGAAAAATTACACCAGACTGGTCTGTCTGGAATGAGTTGGATTTGGGATTAACCCTGAAAGTTCTCTTCTTTTTCCCATAATCTATATTTATAATTTCTTGGATTCCATTATGCCCTGTTTGTTCATTTACAATTTATTAGACTCTAATTTTATAACCTGTCATTCAAATTTTAATTATGTCTTGTTTGCAAACTATTTTCAGCAAGGATAAAAGAAGTCCCTAATTCTAATTTTAGGATTGCAACTGCATTTAAATTATAATGATTTATGTGTATTGTTCTTTACTTCTTTCTATATAAGTTATTATATTCGTTTGTAAAATGTGTTATTTAGTAAATTCTTGCCTAGAAAACATTTGCCCCAGTATGAAAATGTGAAGAACAAGAATTACACAGATCAATCAGCCATAGATAATAGATATATTCTTCAGTAACATAGTTTTCTTTTAAATTTTGAACCATTGAGTGAATACATGGCGCGGACATGATGGTGCAGATCAAAGTGTAAGCAAAATTCGTACCAATATTTGTAAAATACTCCCTCTCTCCATAAACTAATGTCCTACTTTTCTATTTGGGATGTCCAACAACTATTGTCCTATTTCCTTTTTTAAACACAAATTTTACATTTTTAACTTTAATTCATTTATTACTTTTAATCTCTACCATACAATTAAGGGCAAATTTGTCCATTCATAATAAAAAGACAATTACCTAAAAGTTGTGCAAATATACTTTAGGACAATAGAAATTGGACTGAGGGAGTATTATTTTGGCGCAAAATATCATATCTTATTATTTTTTTATACATTAAGAACAGGTTATGTATAATGTCATAGTTCCGCCAACTTTCGCATTTGATGAACTCGAGGTAATGAACTTAGCATTATAATATTTCTTCGAATATATTTTCTTCTTGTGCATGTAGTTTGGATAAATTGGAGGCTCGTTTGAAGAACAACAATATGCAACATTTTCTTATGGTAGTTCTTTGATAATATCAACACTACCGTCATAAAAAATAAAATAAAATTACATCAAAAATATTAAAAAGTAAGATATATATAGTTGAAATCTTAAATTTATATCTCGTGATGCAAACAAGCGTATTGTTAATTTATGGGCAAAATGTGAAATACTTGAATCCAAATTACTACAAAAGATAAAAATAAATTCGATATGACGTAGTTAAAGATACATACTTATATCCACCGATAGAGTCGACAAGAATCAAAATTTTAAAAATAATTCAAATATAAAATATAACAAAAAGAAAACCAAATCAAACAACTCTCAAAACAACCAAAATCAAAGTATCAACTAATTTTTGCCAGACATGAGCGGACGGTGTGTGATTCTTATTCAGTTTTTTTAATCACATTTCACGGTTGCTCATATAAATATATATAAAATTAAAACTTAGTTCAATTATCAGCATATGACATGTCTCAAACCCTAGTATATATATTTTTTTATTCCAACAAACTATAATTTTATCCAAAATAATTTTTAAAATATAATAATTTTACAAATTATCGAAAAAAACAATATAGAAATTTTAAAAAATAAAAAATTTAGAATTTTGAGAGTGCAAGAATTAAAATATCTTGTCATATATATATATATAATTAAAATATAACTTAATACAACAAAATCCTAAACCTATCTATATTTATTATAGCAACAAATCCTAATTCTATTCAATTTCTTTTAATTGTTTTTGTAAAAAATATAATTTTACAAATTATCTAAATTCAACATTAAAAAAAAATAAAATAATTACCTACCTGGTTGAACTCGAGGTAAATATATCCTCTTATTGTGCATGTATGCATGCAATATTTTTCTTATGGTAGTTCTTTGATAACATTAACACTACCGTCATAAAAAAATAATATAAAATTACATCAAAAATATTAAAAAATAAGATATGTTAATTTTATGGACAAAATATGAAATACTTGAATCCAAATTAATACAAAAGATAAAAATAGACTCGATATAACGTATTTAAAGATATATTCTTAAAATAATCCAAATACAAAATATAACAAAAAGAAAACCAAATCAAACAAACTCTCAAAATAACAACCAAAATAAAAGTATCAACCAATTTTTCCAAGACATCCAACTATGTCTGATTCTTGTTCAGTCTTCTTTTTTTTTTTGCTCATGTAAATATATATATATAAAGTTAAAACCTAGTCCAATAGGCAACATATGACATGTCATCAAACCATAATTTATATATGTATATATATTTTGTTATTCCAACCAATTATAATTTTATCCAAAATAATTTTTAAAATATAATAATTTTACCAATTATCCAAAAATAAAAAAAATTAAAAAAAAAATCTCAAAATTATGAGAGTGTACAAATTAAAGTACCTTATCATATATATATATATATATATACAAAATACTCTCTCCGTCTGGCTTTAAGGGTTCCATTTACTTTTTGCGTGTTGATATTTGAATATTGATTATTATATCAAATCGTAGTACAAGTTAAGAAATAATTACAAAAGTACTTCCATTAGTGTCTTGTACGGCTAATAGAAAGACATTTGTACAAAAAATTATACAAATATAAATATATTATTAATATTAAGTACAATGATACAAAATTTATATGTGACCCTCAGAAACGAACGGAAGAAACATATATGATATGATATGAACTTATTAGTAGATATAGAAACACAAAATATTTATTCAATACCTTATAACAGTATATCTATTCAATATTTAAGAAATATTGGACGCGTTTCAATTTTAGTTATATTCATATTATTTTTAAAAAGTGACATTAATAAAATTTCTATTTATCGTCTACCGAAAAATATGAAAGTTTTATTACTTGAAGTTTTCTTTTGATCATTCTCTTTAAAAAGTGATCATTAATAAAGTTTTCAATTTAGTTATATTCTCTTTTGATCATTCTCTTTTGATCATTACGCGTTTCAATTTTAGTTATATTCATATTATTTTGTATACTAAAATCATTAATAATGTTTTCTATTTATCATTCTCTTTAAAAAGTGATTCTAACCTTCCTACCTTAGATACTGAACTAGCCAGATCTCGAACATCGTGGGCTGTCAAAGCCTCCCGAAGATTGGTGTGCATTTTCCTGACCACCAAAGTGGTCATATCACTTTCTTCAATTATTATCGGGCAACGTCCCTTCATTAATCGCATCCGTTCTATGAACTGGGAGGCGGTCTCCGCCGGCATCTGCTCGATCTCCCAAAGGTCTGTGAGTGAGACTGTTGGAAGAGGAATAAAGAACCTTGCATGAAAGGCCGCTTCCAAACCTTCCCAGGTTTGTATTTTTCCAGGCAGTAGATCGACAAACCACGAAAAAACTGTTCTGGTAAGAGACAACCCAAATAGTTGCAGTTTATAAAAAGGGTTGTTACCGATCTCTCCTAACTGTGCTGTAAACCGACCAACATGCTCTATGGTGGAGGATCCGTCTTCTCCTGAGAAAACATGAAAGTCTGGCGGTCGATATTCCTCGGGAGAGGATAGTCGTTGATGATCCTTTCCGGAAATGGCCTCTGATACACCGGTTGGTTCACCGTTTGCGGATTCATTCCGAACTGTACCCGCAAGACTCGAGCGATGTCCTCTGGATCTACCCTTGGTGGAACAAAATCTTCCCTAGAGAAGGCTGGCTCGTCTGGGATGGGATTATGAATCTGATCTCCCAATCCTTCTTCTCTAAGGACAGTTGGCTCAGTTTGGATGGAATTATGAGCCTGTTCCCCCAACCTCTCATTCGGCTGGGTATTATCAACTCTCGGTCCTAAAGGAAAATTATCTGGGAAAGTTAGAGGAGTCTTCCCCATATCTGTTCGGTTGAAAGTTGTGACGCTTGGAAATGAACTGTCAACATACATTGGCCCTGCAAACGTTGATCTTGGAAAAGTCGCCTAAAACAAGAAGGTGACACGGCTGGAAGCATGTTTGGATATAGGGTGAATCTGGAGAATGTCTGATCCAACATGTTTTGCATAAGATTTTGTTGCTCGTGCAACATGTTCTGCATAAACATATTCTGCTGATTGTTCATTTGCTAAAAATAAGACAACCAATCGGTAGGTGGTTGGGGAATCTCCCCTGGATTTGGCATAACTGGTGGTGAAACATTTTCTCCCACCGGTGCTGATGATGATTGAGGTTGTGTGCTTGCCATGTTGATCCTTCTGACGATTCGGCCCGACCTGAGTCGTATGAAATTCTCTGGTGATGTAGGATCAGTAATCTTGCCTTTCTCCCATTGTGGTTGCCAATTTGTTAATGTATTTTTTCAACAAACAAAAAGTAAAATTCAAAGATATGG